ATGAGCTCCGGCGAACCAAATTCGATCACCTCGCCGAGCAGCCGGTCCGCGAACTGACGAGCATCGCCAAGCCCACGATAAGCCACCCGCGGCTCATACGTTCCCGCGCCCGGGCGGGGAGAACCCAGCACCACAAAGTTGGACCAACAGACAAACATGTTCATGAACGTCTTAGCCCACCAATTGTTAAGCTACGCCTCTCCCTCTAACTCTTCTGTCTGGAGAACCTCCGGGTACGGGAGCACGCATGGAAAAAGTGCCACATCTTCGCCGGACAATTCCGGCAGGGAACCTTGAACGTCTTCAAACCACCTTACATACTCTAAGAAAAATGAATTCCTTCCAAAATGAGCGGGATGACGAATGCCCTCACGCTCACCATGCAAAGCTCCTGAGGCAGTCACTTTGAAGAGCCGCTCGGCTCCTCTTCGTCTCCGTGGCTGCTGTTCTGAGTCTCGCCAACCTTTTTCTTCAGATTTGCAAGTGCCTCGACGTACCCGCTGATCACCGTCATCTCCTCCTTCGATCCTGCAAAATCCTTTCGGGATAAGGGGTCGGGCAGACCTGTCAAAAGCCAAGCCGATTGCCAGTCGCCTTGCTGAAGTACTGATTGTAGCTTCGCTTTTAGATTCTGCACTACTTGAGCTGCGGCTACATCGGCTCTTCCACTTGTCAGCTCTTCGTACACCGCAACATCCATCATGGCACACCTGTAAATCCCCTTGAACTTTCCCCACGGCTGCTTCCGAATGTAATCTCGCAATGTCCAAGCCTGGCCTGGAACCACACCCAGCTCCTCGATGACCTCGCGCTCGAAAAGGCGACAAACCTTTTCGGGCTTCTTCTTGATCTGCTCGTGAAGCTTGTTGAGCGTGCTCACAGCCCGTAGCCCCTTCGCTCTGAGATCCGATTCGCCTTCTTCGTCTGAGGAAGAGCCACCAAGGAGTTCGCTGGACCCGCTGGCCTTGTCCTTCTTCTTCTTTTTCCCCTTGTCGAGGAGCATCGCCATCATCATCACCGGCAGCAAGTCCGAAGCCTTCTCGCCCGACTCCAAGCCACCGCGAATAAGCTGATGAAGATCGAGATCGTCGGTCTTCTTCTTGGAAGCCTTTTTCGCCTTGAGCTTTCGGCTCTGACCCGGAGCGAGGAAGGATAGAGGTACTTCGTCGTCGTCGTCTTCGTCTTCCTCGTCCTCCTCCTCGTCGTCGTCGCCTGCAGCAAAAAGCTTCCCAAGACTTTGGAGATCGCCCCGGAGACGACCATCCTTCCCCCGTCTCCTCGGCGCCGCATTGGCAGGTCCGGCGTCGCTGCTCTCCAGGTCCTCTGAAGCCACCTTCTTCCATGCAGTCTGGGCCGAAGCAAAGGTAGGAAGATCCTTGGCCCGAGGGCCTTTCCGATTGCTCGGCTGAGATTCTGACACAGAGTCGCTCGGAACCCTAAAGAATGATACCGAAATGTCACCCGCAGTCGCCTTCAAGATATGATCTATGCCCTCGCCAGAAGCAGGGGAAGTCCCGATCACAACCTCGTCTTCAGACACATCCACGACCCATCCGGCCACAGATTTATCTCCCAAAGACGCCCGACATCGCAAGAAGACAAGGCTACCTACAGCCGACATCCTACCTCAAAAGCTTGAAACGATGCAGCGGGACAGGTCCTGCGTCTCACTCCTCACAGGCTGTTGCACTCACCTGGGCCGCACATACAGGAATAGTGCCTTTAACCTTTCCAAACTTGTCAGGATCACCAGGACACGGAGTTGTCCCCCCTGATTCTTCAACCCATACGCTTCCTCCTGAGAATCCACCCAAGGAGATGACGGCATTATCAAGATTGGCGTTGTGGAAGTCTTTGTGGGGACCCGTTGTAACGTTGCTGAAAATACAAAGGGTCGTGTATCCAAAGCCAGGAAGCTTCGAACATGCAAACTTGTTGAGAGCTTTAGTAACCAAGGGAAACCGGTGGGCAGAAGTCCTAAGTCCAAGAGCTCCACCCAACCGATAAAGTCCAGTTGAGAACGATTCCCCATGATCACCTCTAGCAGCAGGTTCCTTGTCAACCAGACCAAACAAATTGCGAACCGCACGACAGCTGATGTTGCCGCCAGAGCTCAACATTTGCCGGGCTCGTAGTTCAGCAGGATGGTTCTCTGAGCATTGGATGGCGCTTGGGATAGCAGCCGGACCCTCGCTCTCGAGCCCCCCTGAAAGGTCACTTACAGGGTTTGGTGCCCCATGAGTAAACCTCACCTGACTGGTGAAAATCGGAACAAGCTCTTCAACGCGAGTTGCATAATGTCTGTACTTCTCAGGGCATTGAACAACGAGTTGCGAAATGTCGCTGACGAAGAAAGGCAAACTACCTGGCAGCCAAATGAAGGCTTTCCCAGAATCAACATCAATCCCTGTGCTTCTGACCAAAGGGCAACTGTCTAACATGTAATGATTTGCAAAATCCATGTTGTCAGACTCGAAACCAAGGGTCTGCACACCAGGTTGGGGACCACCGCCGGTATGAAAAGTCACGGGAGACTTAGACGCACCTAAGAACCGGTCAAAGGCGTCACGCGGAATCCCTTGGTCAAACAAAGCTTTGGCCGAACCTAAGTGACGACCAGCAGCGGTGTCAGCGGCCCATTCGACGGCATAAGATGGACCAGCGGAGATCACAGGAGTACACAAACTAGAGGCAGCAACAAGCGCAACAACAGCTTTCGCTACTGCTCCAGGCTTGCTCTTGGCTCCGTCCTTGGCTTTGGCTTTCGGCTTCGGCGCAGCAGCTTTGTGGCTGAACTTACAATTATCCCCATGAATGCAACCCGACGGCATCTGGAAGAAAATGCAAGGTGTCTTGGCTTTCTCAGCATCAGTCATGGCCTTCGCCTTAGCCTTAGCCTTTGATTTGGCTTTCGCGTTTGCGTTGGGCGCTGGGGCGCCAGGTGCAATTGGAGGAGGAGGAGGAGGAGGAGGAGGAGGAGGAGGAGGAGGAGGAGGAGGAGGATCTGCTTTGGATGGAGCACCTTTGGGAGGTGCAGCAGGTGGAGTAGCTTTCGGCTTTCCATTTCCTCCATCTACAGCAGGAACAGCTTTCGTTTTCGGAGCAGGTGTGGCCGACTGCAGAGACTTCAAGACAGACTGCGCATTGGAATCTTCACGATCCTGAACGATCAGATCCTGAATCTTATCCCACAAGTAAGACCACTCACGCCTATACGAAGTTGCCCCAGACTCCCTGATGTCCTCAATAATGCACTCAAGCTTGCGAATATATTTCACTCGATGGAAGAGCCATTCACCGGTGAGGCGATCATCAGGTCGTTGCCCGACCGGAATTGCACTGAGAACGAGGCGAATGCGATTCACAAAGTCCCTCAAGTCCTTTATTTATGGAACTTCCACCAAGCTCGATCTGAAACAACGTTGATGCAGTCAGAACAGAACCTCTTACCCGATCGAGGTCGTAATGCCTTGCGATGATAGACAACATCACTCGACCCTTGGGTGATTGGCCAAGTTGGCTACATCTTTCAATGTAAGCGGTGATGTCTTGCTCAAGTTCAGAGGACTGCTTCAGCACACGCCCTGACGACAGCTCACCAGCTATCCATGCATCAAGACGAGGAAGAAGCTCCGAATCTCGCAAGTCAGCTCTCTCAGCATCAAAACCCCTAGAAACCCAAGCCAGCACAAGACCTTGGCCTGAAGTGTCAAGCTTGGACAACTGAACTTTGAAACCGTTCTTCCAAGTTCTGAAACTTGCCGCATCTGAAGGGACAGGTTCAAGCTTAAGATGCAAGAGAGCCCTTTGATCAACAATGTCCTTTTCCCGAAGCTCTTTGACAGCTTCTTGGTCTTCAACCTCATCATCTTCATTGGTCTCAGCAGTACCCGTAGCATTTTGACCGACCTGTTGGACTAACTGTTGAACCACCTCAATCAGCTGATCCACGCGAGGGTCTGATACAGGAGACGTAGGTTGAGGAGGAGCAGGACATGATGATATGGGCGGATGAACAAAGGTACCCGAGTACAGCAGATGCTGAGTGGGAGGGTCGGAAGCTTCAAGGTGAGTCCATGACGCTTCACTAACACCAGACCCAGAACCGACTGGCGGAGCATGGGGTTTTGGTGGCTTAGGAGGAGATCCGGAGGTCGAGGCGCATGGAGCAGCCGACCGAAGCCTCTGAATCTCTCTCTCCTTGATTTGGCACTCTACTCGGACTTGATTTAGCTGAAAATTCAACATATTCAACTCCGCCTTTGCCTCCGCAAGCTGACGTTCAACATATTGACCGTACTCAAACAATTCCCCACATCTAATCTCCGAAAGCCTGAGCTGTTCCCGAAGCTGATCAACAGCAGACCCTGCTTCGCTCAGCACGTCCCTGACTTGGCCTTGTACCTCACTGATAGAAGCCTGGTGCAGCAGCTCCGCCTGAGCGGCGACTCGATTGGCAGCTTCACCAGCAGCAAATTGCTGAGCGGCAAGGACTTGCTGAGGTGTTGCTCCTATGTTGAGCATCTGATTGTGGACAACAGTAGGAACACCAGAATCATCGAGAGGAACATTGACAGCTGGGTAAGGAGCTGAAGCTTTCCTGGGAGTTCGGGCTAAAGCTCTTCGGTTGGCGGGAGGAAAGCATTCGCGTTCAACTAAGGCTGAACTACTCTCTGAACCCCCTGAAGCACAAGAGGAATCCCTCATACCCGGAACCGCAGCTGCCGAAGCACTGGAGATGTCAAGCAAGGAGCTTGGATCAGTTGGGGTTGATTGAGATTGCGACATGATGACGGAAGTGTGCTAGCAGGAAGGCAGGTCAGTGGCGCAATGCGCCGATCAGACCACACAGATATACCCGGTCAGTGGCGCAATGCGCCTAACAGACCAAGATATAGAAACCCTGAAGCCTGAAAGTAACCTTAAACCAAACTGCCGAGGACAAGGTGGTGGCGCAAGGCAGCCTTTCACACCGAGTCAGAATGCACGCACTGAGCACTTCAGCCTGAGATCCAATTCAAAATGGAAGGTTCCGCCTCGAAGATCGAGGAAAAGGACCGACCAACCGACGGCAGCTCCCGCCGAGGCAATTGGATGTGAAACGCAGCAGCGTTAGCCGATCTGTTCCATTCGTCACAGATCCCGGTGTTATCGTCTATTATCAACAACGATGGCCGTTGGAAAAGGCGTCGACAGATGTCAAGCTTTCCGAGGTGTCCTGTGCGGGATCTTGTGATGATGACTAAATCAGCTTGGCGTTGGCCAACAGATTGTATGAAGGTGTTCCGAAGGGTGTCCAAGGCCCAATCCTCGATGCTCCTGGATCCCTCCGAAATGTGGGAGCAAATCACCACCAATGCTCCCGCCTCCTCTGCAGCCCTGTGGACACGCCTAAGAAGACCCTGAACGTCCGAAAGCAACTCCGGTGCTTCGTTCGGATAAGGGATCTTATACTGCTGCTTCCGCTGACCAATGCGAGGTGCCCAGTAATACCTGTCGATCACGTTGTGGAAGTCAAACACGACAACCTTGCCCTCAAGCCGCTGGCTATCTTCGACTCTGAAGTTGCACCTGTTGAATGTGTCAGGTGAGTACAACAAGACGCTCCTCGGAAGGTCAACGACGGGGTCAGTTGTAAGGGCTGACTTCGGTGGCACCTTGGGGATCACTGCAACTTGGCTCGGTCTCGAAGCTGGAGGCTTCGGCGGATTCTTGGGAGGAGTCTTCGGAGCAGTAATCTTAGGATCAGGTGGAGAAGCCGACGGAGTCGAAACAGACACCTTAGGCACTGCCGCAGACTTCGCTGCGGGAGTAATTAATCCTCACCTTCGGCGTGGGAGCCAACCGTTGTCCAGAAACTGAAGCTGTAACAGGAGGCACTGGAGAAGATGCTTTCGCCTCTGGACCTCGAAAGGGTGCTTTCGCCGCTGGACCTTGAGAAGGTGCTTTCGCTGCTGAACTCGATGAGGACGAAGATGACGGCGCACAGGCGGCGCGGGAGGAGCAGGTGGCACACGGATCCTGTGATATTCCGGCACTGCCCCCGACGCCTTGGGAATGAGCGGTGTTTCTTCCGCTTCCACTTCAACTTCAACCAATTCTTCCTCAGGTTCGCTGTCCGATTCAAAGATGGGTTTCCAGCCCGCTCTTGTGTAAAGCGGGCGCTGACTGCCGTCTTGGTGGCGGATGGGCACGTCGTCTAAGGAAGTGTATCGGAAAGGCTGAAGAGATAACTGGTACTGTTGGTACGCTTTGCGCTTCCGTACAGCGCTTTTTCCAGCTCTAATCCCACGCGGCCTCGGGAGAATCTCTGGGCCGCGGTCCGGCTCTGGTGCGTCCATGAATCAAGCTACGCTCTGAAGATCCACACCAAACCGAAAGGGAAGAACGAACGCTACGGCTGATAACCAGTTATTCCGACCCCAAACAGAGACAACGGTCTGCTAGGGTAGGAAAGGAGAGGAAGGGAAGGGAAACCACAACAGAGGAACCCTGCCCTGAACGTAAAGGCACGGCTCAACAGCGCCTTTTTCATCTTGAGCCAAATTCAATTGGCATGATTCACGATACAGAAGTTACATAGTCAGGTAACATTACTTTACATGGAGGTTGTTCGTAAATCTTCAACTGGACAGGCGAACCTGTTTCCGAATTGCGGACTTCTTGCAAGCCGGTCGCTTTTTCGAAGGATCTATCCTTAGCTCGGAATGATGCGCTGGGTGAGTCTTTGACCGTGCGACTAGCGGGCATGCCAGCGGAGCTGTGAACAGTCTCCGGAGGAGAGGCGTCTTCGGAGTCCCCAACTCCGCGACATGAACCCGTAGGACTGCTCAAGGGATGGGCGCTAATTCTACAAGGCAACGCCTTGCGATGTCTTCTGCAAGAAATCCAGAAGCCGCGATAGGTCGAAAAGGTCAAGTGCGAGCGGCCCACCGCTTCCATATTTTTGTAGCAAGGCTCCACGGGCCAGCGCACCACCACGCCATTGCCATAGCCATTGCGCAAACAAAAGGCGCGGCTTCTTCCAAACCAATGCGCGCATGTGTGTTTTCAAATCAGCATGCGTGTGTAACTTCTAGCCCCAGCGTGGCTCGCCGTAAACCTCTTCCGCTTGCTGAACCAAACGCAGCGGAACCCAGAGGTCACAATGAGCACCTTCAATCGCTGCAGCTGCACCCGTGCCTCGTCAAGCAAGAAATGACAGTTCGAGCAATCAAACTTCCAGAAGCTGTGATCCGAAAGGGCTGGCCGCACGCACAACTGTGACAAAAAGCCTTGCTCACTTCCGTCGCTGACACTGAGGCTTGGCACACGTAGAATTCGTTTATACAGATATATGCACCTAGCTGCAGTTTGTCGCAGACAGATTTCCAAAGTGCAACACGTCCTTCTCTCGGAAACTTCCCCTCATTTCTCGAAGATCCTGTTGTTCAAGAAGGTATCCCTTTCGGTTACTTGCTTTCTTGTGGACAGCAGGCCCGCTCCACCCCACCCAGCCCCGTCTATGCGTCATTCCCATGGTTCCTGCCAACATGCATTCCAATGCGTTTCATTCTTGGTCCAGCCGCAGCCGCTGAGACGGTTGCATGCACGTGCAATTTCAGGCACTCAGGGCTTCACACGTCTTCTCATTTGGATCTCATCCGCATGCCCTCAGGCCCCCCATCACGCGAATGATGTGCCGTCATGCAAAACCCAAGCTCGCCTATAACAACCCAGGAGGTACAGTGCCGGCCGGCCCATACACTCCGAGTTTAAAGACTCGGAGTTTCATGAGAACTCCTACACTGTAATTTGGGACGTGGAAGCAAGAAATAAAATCGATATAACGCTCTTGTCCTCAGCCACAGCGAAGCAGAAGCAAGCTTTGACTTGTTTTGCACCATCTGCGCGGAGGGAGGGTGAAAAGTCGAAGAAGTCCATGTAGTTTTCCTGAGATAGTCTCCACGTGGTGCCCGGCAGAGCGGGACTGCACTGAACCCTAACAAATCTCAAGTATCGGGCCCAGAACCTGCATCAAACATGCACGCACCCCACGCACCCCCGCTACCTCGGAAACACCGGGTGCGCCTGCAGCGCCTCGCGCTCAGCACCCCAAAATAAAAGATTCGTTCTACGCTGAACCTAACAAACCCCCAATGTTCGCCCGCGATTCGCAAAACATACTTCGCATCCGCCGTTCTTGATTGTGGGAGCAGCAACTTGCAGCACCAAATGCCTTCAAGTGTACGAATGAAAGCTGCCGAAACCTTATCGCAACCCAGATGCCAGCGAGGGCCACGTCTCCGCCTCGGGACTCAAGGACTTACTAGAAAGGCCCAATCATGCTCAATCAAGCCTTTGTTGGAGGCAGGCCGCGTCCCCACCCCCCGTGTCAGCCGTTTACACCGGGTCTATCTAGCATCCGGACTGTGTGTACGGGAAGAAGCGCGAAAACCAGCTGCGAAATAGACCCTGTACCGTTCATGAGGGTTTCTCGACCAGGGCACTACATGAAATCCGCAGGCCTCGCCTTTTAACTTATGTAAATTGTTTCATACCCGGCTCCAAGTAGCTCAAATAAGTTCAATCCTGGGCTGCAGGACCTCGCTCCCGCCCAACCAGCGCAAGCCAGTTGAAATGCCACTACACTGAACAGTCGGGATGGCGATGATCATCACGATGACGATGGCAATCATGTGCGATGATTGTGGCACTGCTACCACAAGATTACTCCTTTGATCTCCTTTGGCTGCCGTTGTTCGGTTCAGGAGCTACTAGTACCAGGCAGGAGTTTTAGCCACGGGGAGTTTCAAAACGCTTCGGCATGCCAGCTCCAAGGACCCCCACATCGCGGGCATCATAAACGATGAAGCCGCGCTCTCCAATCCTGGAACCAAGTTTAGGGAGATGGCCCACAGGTGACGCTGCGAAGGACTGAGCTTCGATGGCAGGTCTCCTGTGTCCCGAAGCCACATCTGTCAAACGAACAGACCACTGCCCGGGCACTGGATCTCGCAGATTGTCCACGAACATGCTGAAACCTGCAACAACAGGCTTTGAACGGCCGCCGAAGCCCCCTCTCCCCTTTGCGATTTTCTTCATGTGCAGCAAGATCCACGTCTCACCCCAACGAAACTCAAAGCAGTTTTGAAACGGCGCACCTTTCGGGATCTTCCCGCCGGACTGGCGCTGCAAGTGGCCGTCCAGGTACCAATGAATGGCGACCTGCCGTGACATGGCACGTTCTTTTTCGACCAATGCCGGCACTTTGGGTTGAGGATATTTTACTTCAACCTCATCGGCTGAGTCCGACTGCGAGAGTATTTTGCGACGCTGCACTTTTGCAGCCTTCCGCGGGGCTTTGGGATTGCCTGGTTGCGACGTGAAGGACCGCTTGAAGTTGGGAGATTTGGAATTTAGGTAAGCTCGCTATTAACAACCGCCCCTCAATTAAAAAAACCTCAATCCAGTCTCATCAACCCCGTCGAAAAAACAAAACTCGATCCTGAGAACTCAATAATAAATCCTATCCCGCATGACTAAATCCCTGGGGTATTAGACATTAGAGTCAGTTACCGTGTATCGCCCTTCCAGATTCGCAGAGAGAGCAAGGGTAGCAGCACTGGGACCCTCCCTCAACAGTCAACCGCACAGCCCAAGCTTAACATCAACAAAGACGGGCGGCGCATTAGCCTCGCAAGCTTACACTAGACTAGACAGCGGGTCATGTTCCCGCCGGCGTCTTGTCATGAGGTGATGCCGTCTGAGGACAAACTTACTCCAAACAAAAAAACTTCAAGCGGCTTCAGCCGACCCTCTTCAGCCCCTCTGCGGACAGCCCACAGCTACGGAATCTGCTTGTGAAACGCTCGAATCTCGCGTCGCCTCGCCCTCAAATCCCACATTGTTCAAGTACGAGACGAGGCTCGCCTCAGAGTCGGATTCGGAATTGCATCGCTTGAAACCAGACTTTCGGGCTTTCGGGGTCATAGCGAATCCTGATGCATACGGGTGCACCCCACGGCGCACAATATCCTCCGACTCTAAGGCTTATGCCTATTGTAAGCCAAAAGGACCGTCTCCGGATGTGCAACTTCACACCCGGCACACACGCACAACCTTAGGAGCTTGCACCCTATAATCACCTGCTTGAAGCTTCAAGGGCAGCGGCGTTGGGGCAGTCACTTGCGTCAATCAGTGAGACGTCACCGCGGAACTGGTACGAATCCTGCTTGCGGGCACAGTGGAGCTGGAATTGGGTACAGCGACTCGGTAGTGCTCAGAGATCTAGAGTCTTGAAGGCTTGTGGTTCAAGGAACAACTCCTGCGCTCCAGGCGGCCGCAAGAACTTCAAGTTCTAAGCATTTCACCTTCGTCCATGAATAAGTTCTATTCAATACGAGTCGAAGCATGCCATAGCATGCCCGTCTGTGGCCAGCGATTGTTGGAGGGCTTGGTGGACATTTACAGGATTCGCCGCCCCAGCATCGTGACTGTTACTAACTAGATCACCTCTGCAGGTGCATCAGCCTGTGCAAGGAGGCGGGCCGTCCCAAGACGTTCTGAACCCCTCAGTGGTTCAGCTGGCTTCTCTGTGGTTCCGTTGGAAAGGATGTTGTCCTAGACTCTTGCCTCGTCCCAGCCGCAGCCGACGCGCAGTGCGACCACGGGTGGTAAGACCTCCCTGGCTGGAGCACAGCTTCCGCGTTCAGAGTTGAGGGCCTTCGGGCCTGTGTCCATGGAAGTAACTCTGTTCGGGCTTTTGCATATGTCAAACTACATGAGAAGTTCGATCTCCCGACTTGAAAGCAACTTAGTTCCCGACCATCCTGCCTTGAGAGTCTTGCAGCAAGAAAAACGACACTGGCGATGTTGAAGGGTTATGTGATCAAAAGCTTCGAGGCCGTTTCAGAAAACAGAGGACCCTACGAACAAGAGTCCTGAACCACGGCCCTTGAGTCTTAAGACACCCTTTAGGTGTATGTACATATATACTTATACATATATCTATATATAGAATATACATAGAACCTGGAGGACCCTCAATAACAAGAGGTCACGAGAGCTCCGACCTCGGAAGCGCTTCTCTCCGGGCCACGGCGCCGCGCTCCGTCAGAAGCAGGGACCCCGCCGCCCGAGCGCGGCGCAGTGAAGGGCTTCTGGGGCCTCGTGGGTATCGAAAATACGTATGTGAAGTGCAGCCTTCTCACGAGCATGGGTAGCTCCATCACAGACATCACATGCAAGGAGCTATGGTGATGTCTCTCTCCGACTGCACGCCTCCTTGTGGAGTTCCCATGAGCCGGACCCGCATGCATCTCGGCACCAGCTGCGCCGAAACGGCGACCGTATGCTGGAATTTGGCACCCTCCAGGGGCAAATCTAAACCATTCTCACATCTCTGAACTGTACATGTATGTCCTGTATTGGAGGCTCACGCCCCTGCAAGGGTGAACAAGCCGTTTCTCCTGAATTCCGGACCAAAGCATGGCCCTTGGCAGCGATCTTTCGTAGTTTCTCGAGCAGACGGCAAGAAACACCAACCCATCAGAAGTCAAACCTGTCAAGTCGGAAAAACAACCCACCAACATCCCACCTTGAACACCGAAACTGTCCTAAACCCTTCAATCCTCCAAGAATCACTTTCTTCTTTCACGTGGGCCTGCAGTTCAATGCCAAGGGCGCGCGATAGCGGCGGAGGGATTCGGGCCGCGAGCCACCTGGGAAAACATGCGTAGACTTAGACTGGGCTTGGGGTTGAGAAAAAGCCTCTTGGGGCTCCGATTTCGGGAGTGTCTAGCGGCTAGCAGGGTACAGAAACCAATCTCACGCCGCACCCTCAGCCTTCAAAGTGGTCGCGAAGCAATGCGAAATCCCGCATGGCAAGCCTTCCATCTCGGCTGCGGCGGGCGATGGCAGCCTGACATCTTGAATGTTCAATCCCTTCAAAGCGGCCCAGGTCACTAAGAACGGCAGATTCCACATGCCCGCGGACCTGGCAAGGCCAGCTCGTCAAAGCTGCGATGAACATAAACGAGGCAAGTTTTCCCAGCCTCCAGGGACGCCCGTAAGGCGGCAGAACCCGGCTGCGCAGCATCGATCTCGAGCACAGCTGGGGAAAATGCCAGTTGCGGTCTCCCCGCAGCTAAAACGGGACAGAACCCTTGGCAGTCGTGGTAAGACGACAGAATCAGGACACATGTTGGAACTCCACACGTCCATTCAAAGCCTTGGGTACTTCTCAACTCTGTCTCCCACCTTCCGCACGAACCATGGCTTCTCTTTGGCGATATCTGGCAGGTGGGTGACGTTGAGTCGCCTCCGTCAAACGATTGCTGGGTTACTTGCTCATTGACTGCCACACTCGCTCAGGTACGGCACATCATTCTCGGAGGAGAAACGAACTGTAGCTCAAAAACAGGACTTGGCTGCCCAACAGGCACTCCTGTCAGCTCGCAGAACCTCTAAAGAGTTACTCCGCGTAGAAAACCAACCGCATTTCCGAAACCGAAGATCGAACACCATTATGGACCGTTTTCCAGACCCCCTCAGACCCCTCTTCAAAGTCTTAGGATACCCTGTTGCAGAATCTTCTTCACATCAAGATCCCTCCGTTCGATCGCCCAGTTCTGCCTCGGACTTTGGAATGGAAAGTCGCTCTGAGGCGAAGTGCGCCAGGGAGCGTCGTACAAGTCCAGATACCTCGGGTTTCGTCTCGGGGTCTTTAGCGACTTTAGCGACTTTCGGCACTCTCGGACGTACCACAGTAAAAACTTGGTACACTTCTTGATTTGTGCGTGTCATCCTTGCGCACGGGCCATGCTAATCTTCTCTGTATCGTTCCAAATTTATCGGATGATCCCCGTTTTAGGATTTAGAGCTTGGCGGGGTTTCGGGGTGTGGGACCTTAGGGTTTTAAGCGCGGATATGGTTTAGGGATGGGCGCGCTGAACTTCGGGGTGCTCGACTAGGAGGGCAACGGTAAATGAGATGCCGTAGTGACACCAATCACAAAAGCTTCCAAAATGCACCAGGAGGCAGGAACTCGTGCCGCAACAGGGTGTTGCAGAAGGGCGACGTGAGAAGCAGCGTCTGAAAGAAGGTCTCCTCCCCACTTTTGAGGTTTAGTATAAGCAGGGAGGCTAGTATCATGCGAAGCGGCGCACGGGAGCGCGGAGACAGAAAGCTTCTGCTTGGCCGCCCGGCTTCTCCTCCGGAATGCTGAGAGAGACGAGGTCGTCATACAGCCTGGTTCGCGGGCTAGGCTAGGCTTTACTCTACCCCTTGGCCCTTGCTCGTTTGGTACTCGAGTACTCTGCTCGAGGATGCTGCTGACAGGCCCGGGCCTGGAGACCAAGCTTGCGCCCTCTTTCAGGCCTGACCAGAAGCCGAGGAGCTTTCTTGGTGTGTTCGGCAAAAACGGCTTTCAGTCAACTGAAAGCCTCTGGAGCGGCTGAAGGAAAAGGGTTAGGCAAACTATAGAGACTTTTGCTGGACGGGTCTCTATTTGGGTGGTTGTCAAAATTAGGGCCCCTTTTTGGGTACCCTAAGAGCCTACATATTGGGTGACAACCACCCATTTGTGAAGCTCCCCGCCTTCATCCACATACTCCAGGAAGGAGCGGCTAAGAATAACCTCCGTCACAAGCTTGCTTCTTGTCGAGGGGCCAACTTGAAGATACCATGCTATCTCTGTCTCTATCCATCTATCTATCTGTCTATACGCTCAGCAGGCACATAATGGGTTTTGCAATCCCTAACATCTGATTCTGTCTCCCACATGCCAGCTCGCCAGTGCCGGTGCACGTCGGTTTCAAACACTCGAGGGGGGGAGCCACTGCTCAGCCACGCGGTGGGATCTGAAGGCCGAAAAACTTTCAGGAAGCGCTTCAATGTTTTGGCTTTACCGCCACCGGGGCCCTGAAGGATAGCACTTCAATCAGCCCCACCGGTGCTAGAAAACCCCCGAACCCCGAAACATGTTGAAAAGCCGTGAAAACTCTGAAGCCGAAGGAGCCCACTCCGGCCCCGAAGCAGAGGTGACTCCAGCGAAGAGCGCCGGGAACTTCTCGCCTCCACTTCGTGGATCGACTCTGGGGCTCGGGGACCAGGGTGTACCGCAACCTACCGAAACCTACCTTGTTTGTAAGGTTTATGGTCGCTTAAAGTGAGCTTGGTGGGTTTCGGAAAAACAGACCTTCAAACTTATCGCGCGCGCGCGCGCGTGCGTCTTGCTTGCTTTTGGTGGCCGACATGATGGAGGAGAGTGTGTGTCCGCTGTCAAGGAAGCCGTGCTTGCTGCCCATCTCAAAAACACCCGTCCAAAGGCACCGCAGGCAGTGCGGAGCAAGACAGATGGGGACCCCCGCATCGAGGATACTTCGTGTTTCAGCCCATCTCGAACATGCACGCAAATGTCATGAGCAAAGAGCCTCACGGATCCCAAGGCCGTGAGTGGGCAAATCTGAAGCTTCGTCCCAGGGCCACAACCACCCGAGGTATGAAGTTCGAACTTCATTCAGGGCGTTATTCTAGTGGCTCTACAGTCGCAGTTGCTAGCACAAATGGATGATTTTAGTCTGAGCTCCGCCGGCAGAGGCGGCCTGGCGTCAGGGAGAAGAGTCGGCCTTCGCATTCGAAGGCCAAGGAGCGATCACAGGCGATGTAGACGTCCTGAGACCCGGGATTGAGCACTGGGAAATTCACACTTTGATCGTAGGCTTTCGGGTTCTGAGTTAAGTCGCAACGAGGAGTTGGGGTTTGGGAGTCTCAGTCGGGTTAAGGGTTCAGGTTGATGTTCTGCATCGGCGTCGACTTGATATGTTGCGAGTTCAGCAGTAGAGGCTTCCAAGGACACGAACCCTAAGGACATGACTGCAGATGACTCTCGCTTTCCGCCCACAAAAGCAGCCATCAGCAGAACCATCCGCGACCAAAAAATGCGTAACCTGTTCCCGCCAGCCGCAAATCCCCAAGCGCCGAAACTGCAACAGAGCACGCTACCAGAGATGACGCAAATCCGCAAAGCCCCAAAGGCCCCCAAAAAGGCCCCCCCAAGCGCCCAAAGGCGCTCCTCGGCCCGGGGCCCCGAGTAGCTCGCGTGGCGGCCGCCTTGCAGCGTTGGGTCGTAGTACTTCGTGGACGTGATCCTCGCCTAGGCCGGGGGTTTTGGTGTTTGGTGTACCGGTGTACCTTGTCGGCTTATCAAAGGTATCTCAAAAACAATCCCACAAAAACAAGACGACACAAATCAAAAGTCACAGGGGTTTATGCGGTTTCTGCACGTTGAGCTAGCTATGCGTCAGCGGCCCCCGCCACAGGCCCCTAAAGACTGGATCCGCCTTCGACAACTCTGTGAAGCTGGCGGTCGAAGCTCAAGAAGCGACGACTGTCTGAAGACACCACGGACAAGGCTGGAAAGTCAAGTTTCAACTTCAAGCTTGAAAAGTCCATCCTCACGGCCAGCTTGCTGGGGATTCCTACTCTACTTCAGGCCGTCAAGCCTTCTGCTGATTGGGTTTGCTGCGACAGGCTGCATAATTGGTGCCCCGGTGAAGCCAAAGATAGGAGGCGAACCAGCTGGCGGCGTCGGCTGGGTAATGCGTATCACCTCGGCTGGGCTTCGGGAGCTCCCATGCGCCACCTCAGCCTGGCCTCCGTCCTCCACCGCCTCCGCCTCTGTGCCGTCAGGTGGCTGAGGTTGATGTAGTACTCCCAGGCGACGGGACTGGCCAGGAGGAGCGCAATGGCGCGCAGCTGCACGTCCAGCATCGATCGCCTTGCGAAATCCATCTCTGTGTCGATCGACATGCATTCAGAAAAAGCCCATACGGCTGCCCGTGAAGCCCTCTCTCGCGTTTGTCTTTGGCACTACCCAAGAATGCCAAAGAGCTGCCTGAAAAGGCCTGAAATGTCACCGCCGTTGCCACTTCGCCCATCGCTTCTCCCCCAAGTTCACGCAAGGCCACCCGCCGCGGTGCACGGAGAACTCGCTAAAGATCCGCACACGCTCCTTTGCTGGAACAAGGGGGATGTTTTCGTTCCCGTTGAAGCTCTTTCATGGTCCCGGCATCTGCCCTGAATCCCGGTTGGGATTCGTAAGTGCTCTCCGCATCGCGGCGGTTTCGGGTGTCGGGTCTTCTGCCGGTGGCTCGGGTTGACAGCTGTACGGTACGACTCACTTCATGCTTCGCGAACCGATTCCCGCATCACCGTGCGGCCCCGATCAGGTGCTGATCGTTATGCGGATTGAATTGCAGGCTGCTATGCGGAAAGCAAGAATCGGGTGGCTTGCTTGCAGCGGCCAATTATGGTCTAGATGCGATTTGAAGCAGCAACGACCATGTACTTATCACACGAAGGCTCGCGCCCATTCTCGAAGGACCTGGCAGCCCACCTGTGGGGGGCGACTGCTCAGCTTTACAGATCCTCTTGCAAACCGTTGCGCGTGCAAGTGTGGGCGCTCCAGTCAGTAGCATCAGGCTGTGGGTCATCTGGTGCTTGCAGCTCCCTTACTGGTACGGCAAGCACGGTGTCTTGCATGGAGTGAAGCAGGTGGGGCCCCTGTCGGAACCCGAGCGAGCACTCCCGGACCTCCGGAAGTCCTCGAGTTGGCTCTCCGTCGCCACCTGACACTCGAGTGCAATTAAGGCTTTCGGATCGACGAGACGGGCTCGCGAAGCAAGCACTGCGCTCCCAGGCATGCGGAATGCAGCATGCCCCCGAACTGAACTAGAATGAATCCAACACCTCACAAGACTATGCCAGGACTGTCTCTCACTGCGCCCAGTGGGGTGGGGCTTTCAGTCTGACCTCTCACTTGATAGATGCTCCAGTTCGACTGGTCTTCCAAAGACATTAACGTGCCAGCTCGCCAGCATGATCTCGGGTTGACACGTGAGGAAAAGGCTGCCCTGCACGACACGACCTACGAAGCACGCACTGAGGTGTGTGTGTGTGTGTGTGTGTGTGTGTGTGTGTGGGGGGGGGCGGGCGGGGGGGCTGGTTGGTTCGATTCCTTTGCCATCTCTCTTCAGGTTTCGGCGGGTGCATGCACATCGGAACCTCTCTGTGACCCGCTGAGCTCAGGGATCCAAAGATTCACATAGACCATCCCGAAACTGGGGACCAAGTGTTCGAAACAGCTAAGTCGAACACAACTCTGTTTCAAACAAGCAGGTGTCACAGCGAGGGGGCGATTTCAGTAAGTTCGGGTCCCTCTTGGCATTCTCGTTAGAGTCACGAAGCCCGAGAGGGATCCTGATTGAAAGACCCCTCACGCAGCGACACGACATCTGAGGGCGCCTTCTGATCCAAGTGCACCAGTGCCAGTCCGTCTGATGGGTGCAACAGCCGTGCAACTAGGCGGCGAACCTGGACCTCGCTGAGGATTCCTATAGGGTGTTCTGAAGGGACTTCCGTGAAGCTACCATCATATGGGGATAGGTGTTCAGCGAACAACGTGGTTTGTGATGGCTCGTGACTTTAGGGACACGTAGGGCTTTTTGCATCCGGTCTGCAGCGCCTCTACCGGGTCCGCCCTCAAGCTTGTTCGCGTAGGGCTGAAACTGCAAACTGCTTAGCACGGTTAGCACAAAAGCGCAGTGCGCTTTCAGTGCTTTCCAGCCTTCGGACGGTGGTTTCGAGTCCGCCGACCGACCGGCTACAAGACTTGTGCCACAAGATCGAACCGAAAAGGGTTGTCAAGAAGCGTGCCCAGCAACGCCAAGCTGCGAACTTGTCGTGCGCCAGGATGAGGTAAGCGAGAGCTGCCTCCTTGAAGCCTCAGACTGCTTGGGCCCCGATTCGTGCGTCCTAGACTTTATCATGGGATTATGGGATTGCTTCGAAACAGCGAGTCAGGAGTTCTCACAGTCGGTACGGTACTGGCAAGGGACATGGCGCCCATCAGAAAACACCGAAGATGCAGCAGCCCCTTAGACTGCCCAAACCCTTGACACCTTGTGCATGAAAACACCCACCCGCGCGCACACACGCACACGCACACGATCGTAAAGCTGCCTGGAAACTGCGCAGCTCCGTCTGCACATTCGTCACCGCCCTGGCACCACAAAGCTCTTCAGCCGGTGCGGCCGTCGGGGTCCTGTTGGGACTTTCGGCTTTTCGGGTTGATGCTCTCACACTCGGCTTCACATGATGAGGCTCATGAGGATTTTTGGTTCGTGGTGCTAGGGATGTTACGCCTGAAACACTCGTGGGATTCTTTGAGCACTACCCGACGGGAATGGTGTTTGACATGTTTATGTAGTATATATATATATATATGTGTATATATATATATATACATAGAGATACACACACATATGGCCTCATGATATCATGGATGTGCGGGCGTGTGTACATACGTGCGTACGCACAATTACACACACACACACACACACACACTCACACGTGCAGACAGTGCTAAGACGCATGTTGTCACTGGCTAATTACGGCTAATAACCCTTTCTACGGGTCTCAACGAGCCCGATCCCAGGAAGGCTATGAATCACTCAAGACAAGCTGCTGTGAATGGCCAATCTATGATTCCAAGCAACCTCCAAGATGCGGGCCCTGTTTTGGCTTCCTCTGCTGCGCGACGCCCCACCGTCTTGGCGCACACACCCAGTACGACATCTTCACGCACGGCCCACCGCAGTTCGGAGCTCAAGGACGTACGGGACGTTCTACCACTCGCTTGCAGGGAATGTGCTAGCGTGCTCACGCTAAGACCACGCCAGTGAGAAACGCGCAGCATTGCGGGGAGAAGTTCGGAAAGATGCCGAAGACTGCAGGTCGATGCTTCTTTCGGAGACGGAGACAGCAAGTATCTGCAAAACTAATTTACGGATCCTTCTAAAGGGGATCCTACTATCTAGGGCTCTAGGGTCGAGACTCTTATAATGGGGATCCACTCTCTGGGGAATCTAAGTTCCGCTTCTGCATGTAAGATGGCATCCTGTTTCCGCTCCTGAAATAAACACTCACCGCTGGTTGCGAATTGGGCATGCATCCTACCCTACCTAAGTGAAATCAAGGGACCACTGCCGGGACATTGTTGATTCCAAGCTTTCAGAGAACACACGACACAAATCGTCAGTAACAGTACTGTAGGACTGCATCCAATCTACCTCGGAGAACTTGCAAGTGTCCTTTTTAAAAGTGGTCCACCAATACTCCCCTGCCTGGGGGCTGCGGATGTTCGCAAACGATATCATGGACCGCGGAGGCCAATCCGCTGTCGGGCTGTAAGTCTGCAACCTGTACCGTCCGACCCTGGTCCATTGGCATAAGCACTTGTACTGGTCCGTCTATGAGCACCCCTCTCTTCCCCAAGACTCCGAGGCCGTTCTTGCGACCCCTGCCCCGAGCAGCGAGTCCGAAAGGTTGTGTTCGAGAGCCTAAACCAGTTCATGGCACCCTTTTGAGGCCCTGATCAAGCCTCCAGGAAAAGGACTTCGCTGAAACTCAGAGGCTCTCCCGCTGCTTCCACTTCGCGACCGAGGATCAGCAAGCCGCAGGAGACGACGAGGGGCCGCCAGCCGTACCTCGAACTCTGGCTCTTTCAGCTGCAGATTGATGGTTAAGTACCACACTTGCGGTACATGCTGGCAAACGCAGAAAACGTACACATAATCAACAGAGAAACAGGAGACAAATGTTTACAAGCACAAGACGTACAACACGCTCTCAATAGCGACAGCGCGCCTAAACCCCGACACGAAAAAGGGAAGAGGCTGCCCGACAACCAAAAGATCCAACCCCGAAACACATGAACCGACAACAAAGCCAAAAACAGTGCCTGACAGCGGGGATGTGCGGGCATGCGTGGGCGTGAGGGCCTCCCTGGAAAGACCCGGATGTGTGCGGAGATCAAGTCCTGGGAAGGTTAAGGGAAGCCCTTGGGCGGCACCTGGGAGGCAGCCGAAAAAAGCGGGGATGTGGGTAGCACGAAGCAGCAGCCAAAACAGTGATTGGGAGGAATATGCGAGAATACGCGAGCTGGAAGGGCCTGGGAGGCCGTGCCACATAGAAACAAACAGGCAATTTCTGGCAGCGGACCTAACAAGGAAAGAAATCGGACAGATTCTCACAACCGATTTGCTTCCCACGTAGACAGAAACCGACATGGAAAGAAACTGCATATGTTCTGTGTTCTGGCAGCGGACCTGCTTCCAACACAAAAAAAGAAATCGGACAGCTTCTCACAGCCGATTTGCTTCTCACGTTTGTTCGAAACCAATTTCGAAAGAAACCGCACATGTTCTGGCAGCGGACCTGCATCCAACAAGGAAAGAAAACCACACAGAAAGAAACTTTGTATGGTGCAGCGCTGCTAGGCCCCCCCTCGCACCCCCACCCCATGGTATCCCCCTTCCCCCCCCTGTCTGTGGTGTGGGCTGCCCGGCTCCCCCCTCCCCTCCCCCCTGTGCGGTCAGCTGCGCCCCCTTCCATGGGCTCCCCGGCTGCTAAGGGTTTTGGCCTTAGGATGTGATACAGTTCGACTGGACTCCGACCCTGAGCTCCAAAGCCAATGACAGAGATGAATATTCTGGTTATGATAGTGACCACCAAGATGGTGGTCATGATCCCCATCCGCACTCTCCTCCGGTCCCTTGCTCAAGAGTCCCGAATGAAAATCATTCAAATTCGTGCGCAAACTTACTTTTAACGAACCCAACCGCAATTTGGCCTTTTTTGAAACCGGACTTGATGACTGCCAGCACTTGGAATGACAACGGTCGATACAGTTTTCGCAAGAACATCACAAGCCAAGCACGAATTTCACACTAAAGAAAGCAATGAGCATGCGGTGCCGAAGCCCAGAGCAACATAAGAGCAAAGGTACCACCAACAGCCACACTGGGAATAGCACATCAACATCATTGGGCACAACATCATCGCCATCATTCTCATCTGTATGTCGAAGGGGAGGGGAAGGGGCCCTGTGGTTCTCTGTCTTGTGGTTCTATGGATTGTTGGTTACCCACCCGCCCCACCCGCTCTCCCCGTTTTATGAGTTGCGTGGATGACTGTTTGCTGGGACGAGAGGCCTGGCCTGGGCAAGGGGGGGTGGGGGGGGGGGGCGACGCGGCACCATATATGTTCTGCCAGCCGAACTGCATCCAACAAGGAAAGAAACCGGACAGCTTCTCACAGCCGATTTGCTTCCCACGTAGAAATGACCAATACAGAAAGAAACTGCATATTTTCTGGCTGCGGACCTGCTTCCAACAAGGGAAGAAACAGGACAGATTCTCACAGCCGATTTGCTTCCCACGTAAAATGAAACCAACACATAGAGTGACGTAAAGAAACCGCACATGTTCTGGCAGCGGAACTGCTTCCAAAAGGAAAGAAACCGGACAGCTTCTAACAGCCGATTTGCTTCCCACATAGAAAGAACCAACATAGAAAGAAACTGCATATTTTCTGGCTGCGGACCTGCTTCCAACAAGGGAAGAAACAGGACAGATTCTCACAGCCGATTTGCTTCCCACGTCAAATGAAACCAACACATAAAGTGACATAAAGAAACCGCACATGTTCTGGCAGCGGAACTGCTTCCAAAAGGAAAGAAACCGGACAGCTTCTAACAGCCGATTCGCTTCCCACATCGCAAGAACCAACATAGAAAGAAACTGCATATTTTCTGGCAGCGGACCTGCTTCCAACAAGGGAAGAAACAGGACAGATTCTCACAGCCGATTTGCTTCCCACGTAAAATGAAACCAACACATAGAGTGACGTAAAGAAACCGCACATGTTCTGGCAGCGGAACTGCTTCCAAAAGGAAAGAAACCGGACAGCTTCTAACAGCCGATTTGCTTCCCACATAGAAAGAAACCAACATAGAAAGAAACTGCATATTTTCTGGCAGCGGACCTGCTTCCAACAAGGGAAGAAACAGGACAGATTCTCACAGCCGATTTGCTTCCCACGTCAAATGAAACCAACACATAAAGTGACATAAAGAAACCGCACATGTTCTGGCAGCGGAACTGCTTCCAAAAGGAAAGAAACCGGACAGCTTCTAACATAGAAAGAAACTGCATATTTTCTGGCAGCGGACCTGCTTCCAACAAGGGAAGAAACAGGACAGATTCTCACAGCCGATTTGCTTCCCACGTAAAATGAAACCAACACATAGAGTGACGTAAAGAAACCGCACATGTTCTGGCAGCGGAACTGCTTCCAAAAGGAAAGAAACCGGACAGCTTCTAACAGCCGATTTGCTTCCCACATAGAAAGAAACTGTTGGTTATGAGCACCGGCTATTGATGTCAATGCTCTTGCATTCTGATCTGGACTCATGGTGTCTGTCACAGGACTATAATGATCAGGCATATTCGTTAGGGCACGCTGTCCCCTCCGAGGAGTATGATACGGGTTAGTGGCATCTTCATCCACATCGCTCTGCATTATCACACTCACGGCGCTCAAAGGATCACGGAAGTGAAAGTACCGGCCCGGGCAACACGTGTTGACCTTCCTACCCGCAAATCCTCAAGACTACGAACCCGAGATTAAACCAGAAGGCCCCAGCAGTCTGGCACGACTCGAAAGAGTCAAGGCAACACAAGCTTTCAAGGTATTCGCTGTTAAGGGTTTGGGGATGTTATGTTCTGCACGGAGAGGCCGTTGGCCTCTGTGTCGTCGTCACAACCCCAAACACTCCCAGTCGCAAGAAACCAAAGTTGCCAAACAGCTCTCGGATCCTTTTCGCGTTCTTGAGCCAAATACCATACGAAGTCTCGCCGTGTAAAAGCGAACTGAGTCATGCTTGCAAGTCAGAGACAAGCATATGACTTCTTGAATCGTGCACTGCGAACTGCACCGACTCTATCCTGCATTGCACTCATCAAACATGTGCATGCGCAGTTCCTAAAATGGTGTGCTCGCGCCCTCCGTAAGAGAGCATGTTCGCAAAACTAATTATAGCCATACACTAGAGATGGGAGCTTCGACCACATCGTGAGCATGGCATACTATCATGGAGCATCTGGCCTATCAACAACACTCCTCCTTCTCGGCATGTGCGATTCCGCACGTGCTGAGACTCAGACTCAGCCAGATCTCCAAACTGAAAGCTAAAATGGCGCATAGAGGATGAAGCAACAGCGTACTCCCCTGGCCCGTAGGGGTTTGGTGAACCAGCCTATGGTCTCTTTTCTTTCTTTTTTCGAGCCTTGACTCTGTTCTTATCCCCAGTGGGAACAACTGCGCCTTCCTACCCTAATCACAGACCCTGGACTATTCCTTCGGAGTCTATGTTACAAAAGCACTTACCACTCCTGAGAGTGGCCCTCACGCGAAAAGATTATGAGTAGAACGATTGTCACGACCTACCCATCATATTAATCACATGATCCGCAGCTGCACACGCTTGTGCCACATACTTTGCCTGTCCAATCTGCAATCCATCACTCGCCACAGCAATCTCTGCACCGAGGAATCGCATGCACCGAACGAGCTTCAAGGTCAAGGTTTCACTCACAACGAGGTTTCCGCTAAGTCCTACCCCTGGTTTCTCAAGAATACCCTGACCCTTGATAGACCACAAACTCTGAATGAAAGCAGTGACTCTTCGGATCACTTCCACATCGCCCACGACCAGACCATCGTCGACATAGCAACAGCACGCTCCAACGACCACACCCTTCTCATCTACCAGCTTCCACAGGCCAGCGGCAAGGTTGATCGGAATGAAAGTCAGTGCTGAATGATTGTCGCCCTTGGAGCCCTGGATGGTTGCATGATTGATCTTCGTGTCGCGCTCTTTCTCCCATTCGGTCGGGCCCCGACGGAGCCCGTAGATGTTCTTTCGCGCTATCCACACCGTTTCTGCACCAACGAGCCCTAGGTCTCGCATAACTTTGGGTGGAGTAATAATCACAGGATCTCCGGAGGAAATGTCGGCGTTCAGAAAGGCGGCCTCGACATCCAAGCCCCCCAAAGTCCAATTCTCCGTTGATGCAGCCAATGACACGAAAGTCCGCACAATCTCAGGTGGGATGTTTGAAGACGTCCAAGGTTCACCATTGTTGTCAGCTCCTGATTCAAAGTTGCCACAAGCGCATATTCGGCTTTTCTCGGCAAACCCATCCTCGTTGGCCAACGTCGGGTCCTCGCTCGGTTTGAGTGTTGCCACAACCTTAGAAGGGATTTCACGAGGTAAGCGGGTCCCCGTAGGCAGGCCCAATCTGCCATGTAGTTGATCCCGGGTCGCTTCCTCAAGGACATCTTTCATCTTCCCATACTCCTTCACAAGTGAGGCTTTCCACTGCTGCTGTCTGTCACCCTTATAGAAACCCTTCAAGTCCACCGTCTCCGCTTGAGCCGGCGCTGTGCTCGCTTCCAGTAGCTTCTCCTCGACTTGATTCGCCAACTGCTCCTCCTCATAGGAAAGCAGATGATACTTCTGCCAGTTCACAGCCTTATCGCCATGTTCAGGGGCAGGTTGTTTCATTTGGGATGATGACGTAGCAACTGCTGCCAGTGGATACCCGTCTAAGGGACTCTGACCGCTCTGGACCTCTTCAACCGT